CTATCTTTTACTCTTTGGTTGTTTGTTTCCACGGCAGCATAATGAATAAGGACTATTTACTTTAGCAAATGCATCCGACACCCTGTAAGTCTGTATTCTAAGAGGCGGGGACTGTATATTGTATTCTTTGTTACATAGCTTTGATCTTAACGTGCATGTTTCAGTATCAATGCGTCGAAAACGCTTTTGTTTGGTACATTTGTTTTACCTGTACAATCAGAATTGGTGACAACGACCGACAGAAGATGTATTTTTATTACGCTTCGATGACGATACGAGACATGATATTCGACTTTAAGATGTTAAAAAATCATTCCAGATTCTTAATGTTACTTAAACTGTAAATTGTTATGCGGTCACATTGATATTTGATATATTTACTCGCGGTTAATGCTAGTTGATCTTTTAACAGTCACATGATACCTTCAGAAAGGTTTAAAAGTCACAGTATACAATAAAAGGACGGTTGAAAAACGGCATCATGCTACTTATAAGCAATGTTCGGGTCGGGTCTTTTTTGCGTTAGGTTCTGCTTGGCTTCAGGGGTTTTAATACTTGAACGCTGGATGGCAATATGACGAATTGCATGGGCCAAACGAAATGGAAAGTCATTTACGAAGCGAGGTAACTCCTATAATATCTTTACAGGAGTACTTTACATGTACATGAAAGCAATGACGAATCTGACTAACAAAAACAAACAGTCACGGCAATACGTGTGAGTAAATTACACCTGATTTACTTGAAAATGATAAAGACCTCTGTGCATAAATGGCATTAACTTGAAGACCATTTTTTAAAAAGGTGTTTTAACTAATGTTTTCTTAGTGTAGTTTGTTGAATATGGGTATAATCAATGTTGACACATCCTAGCTGCCTATTGATGATGTAAAACATATATATTCAGGTTTTAGACGTACGGATTCCATTAGTAAAATCAATTCTAGGCCTGGTACAGGTTCAAAGGTTTTTGTTGATAGGAGATACAGATCGTTATTAGCTAGTTAAATTGCATTGAAATCCTTTTAATCTTTAGGTAAGTGTTATGAAATATGTTTTATCATAATGCCAGTTTACAAGTTTATTAAACATGAACAGGCCCTTCAGTTAGCCTATACAAATATATAATTGATGATTGATGTTGCAACTATATGTTTTGATAAATTAGGATTTTAATATACATTTTGTTGGTTTGATATTGAAATCCATTTGTAAATTACCTGAACAAGGAAAGACAACCCATTTTTACTAATATTCATCATGACCGTGAGCTATGAAAGAAAGATAACTCGTTTTCACAACGCATCTCTCGTACACAATCAAAATGATTTCAGCGAGTTCTATAAAGCATTCTTTTATCAGTTGCGATTGAAATAAATACACCAGTTATAGCTCTATACAGTTGTTTCTATACCGGAAATGCCTCTTAGAATGTTTTACTTTCTTTTTTTGATAGGGAAAAATAACAACAGTAGTAAATTGGTTGTTGACCAATCCCCATGTATAATGTAATCGACTGTACTCATTTTTTTGCATATGAGGTATTGATTCAATTAGTTTGATAACACTGAATTGATCACACTGTGACATATATCAAAAGTGATATTTGACACAGTGAGAGGGAATAAAATTCCACTAGTAGAGTCCATCACATCTATATTGAAAAAATGATAATAGCACTGCATCATAAAGCTTGTGATAAAACAGTTGCTGACTTCGGATTCGGTCCATAGATATTTTTCCGAACCCTAACCTAAACTGTGCCACTCGTGTACACGGACAATACCATTGTTCATTTCGTGTTTTACGATACATCTGTTACTCACAACACCTCTGTTGTATGTGCTTCCTTTAATGATAGAACATTACAATTGATGCATTTTAAATCACTCGTTCGATCTGTTGACATTTGACATTTCACACGAAGTTTCACATGACAGCTTAGTCATCCGCGCGCTGAAACAAATAAATAACCAGCATTTAGACATTCTATATCGTTCATAAACTCGTTAATTGTGTTTCATTCACGATATTATAAACATTTTGGATGTAAGATAAAATCTACACATATTTGTACTCTTTGATTAGCACGGGCTATTGCTGGTAGTAATTGTTCAATGCTAATTATTCAGATATACATGTGTACCTTTAGCACTTTGGGGCCCCAGACGGGATACTTAAAAAACTATGGTAAAATGAATCATTAAAACAATCAAATGACATGTAGAGGGAAGAAAATCTACTATTTAGTAGTTTTTTATGTGTTTAAGTGAAGATGCAGAACAGTCTACTAGTCTGGAGGTGTTTTGTTTGGATGGAAAGGCAGGCATATCTACTTATCTAGTTTTACTAGTTCTTTTTGACATTTATTAGTAAAATATAGGATATATCTAGTGTTGAATTTTTCATCGATTGCGTGCCGTCCTGAGCTTTATATCAAGGCCACACATACTTTTCTACTTCACCCGTTTTCACTTGATCTTCACTTACAACAAGACCAACAGGGACGGCTTACTACTCAGCTGTACGATAAACGGGACGATTTCAAGTTTCCAACCGTCAACTTTCCCTTTCTTGATAGTTGCTTCCTGTTATACGATGTTTACATGTCGCAATCGATTCAGCATATAACAGGTTTTATAGTGGCTATCAGGATCTCACATGGACACATGTTATTTCGTTGTGTGATATGAAGTTCGATGCTTTGGATTATGTTCATTAGTGTGCTGTGTAGTGTTTTTGTCACAACTCGAATTCTCGATGTGAGTACGTGACATTACTTGAAAAAGACCCAAAACATGACGTTTGTCGTCGATGACGCAAAAGACGGCAACTCTTCCGGACCACTAGGTCGGGTTCTCCTTGTACTTTTCCAACGGTCTAATGTACAGCTTTACTTTGTACCTATTTTGCCCTAATTATTTAGTTCGAAATATGGTTTTGTTGACACTTAATTTGATATACTCTTAGTTTTTTTACTTTTTGTTTAGTTTTTTCTTCAATTAATGCAAACAAGGTTTATTTCCAGCAGGTTAAGTGCATGAAAACTGGCTACCTTTCCTAATCGGTAATGTCTTTCCTAAACACATATTTTTAGATTTTTGTCATATGATAAAATGGTGAGGATTATTTCACCATTTATGTCAGAGTTAATGCAAATCGGTTGAAAGAGGTTACATGCGAAATATGTATATAGCCAATTTTCGTTCATACAGGTATGAATACGTATTTATTCTAAATGTATGGCTATAATGTATATCAGTTCCAATCATACACGTATCCATGAAACGGCCTAACATCAACCATTGATAAACTAAGTCTGAAGTTTTCCGAATCGTGTAAAGTACAAGTACAACAGAGAGAGAAATGTGTCTGTCAGACCCTTTAATATATTGCATAATAGATATTTGAACTAAAATATGTTGGAACGTCGTAGGGGACGTCTTAACAACTCAACTACAGGACGATATCAACGATAACCTCTTTCCATATGTTACATCAGGTTATGTAATCTTGGTATTCATGTTTGTATACCTGATACCTATTAATGTATATCTTATTATCTTATCAGTCGCATGTAGAACATCCATAATTGTTTTCTGTGTATATTTTAGTAAAAAATAGAGGTGTGACATATTTTCCCCATCGCTGTACTTATCAGTTCAAATCGTCGGAGAAATCTGAAATTTTGGCCTACTAAACTTGGTATTTTTTCGTATTTTACCGTGTAATGTAGCTTTGAATTACGAATGGTTGTGATGGTAAAATAAGTCAAACACTCTGGAATTATTACGCGAAATTTTACCAGTTTATTGCCGCAAGTACTTTGCCGATAAATGGTCGCCAGTCTAACTGGCCGTATACATGTATAACTTTTTTTAAAGTATCGCGATATTATCGGCGAGAGCCACGATGCATCGGTGAATCGTTACACCTCCTGTACAAATAATCGATATTACTGCATTTCATAGAGATTCTGAAAGTTTCCGACAAAAACTAGCTAAGTTTTTTTTTTTTTATCTAAACTTGGTTATTATCCCAAATGATACACACAATTTTCACGATGATGTTGTAGCTAGCCATGAAATCACCAGTCAGTCACTAACAACTGGTAATGCTTGATTAATCGCAGCATATAGGCCTACGGTACCAGTGTGCTGTAAATTTAACTAATACGATCGTACATGCATGTCGCAAATATTTTACCTGTTGGGGACATGCATCTTGACTACGAATGCGGCAACACAAACCGTTTAAAATTGTTGCTGCATGTAACGTAGTTCAAAAACACACGCTTAAGGTTTCAGGTGGCATTTAAGTTTGATTATTATTCATAATTGAAGAGAAATGTACTTTATCAATAATTATTGTAATTTTCCAACAATATGTTCGTACATGTTTTCCCTATTTCATGGAGACATCGGATTCGGTGTGTACACATGTTTTGTTTTGTAAAGCAGACGGTAAAAAAATAAATTATGCATATATTTGGTCACAACCGACGGATCACCGGCATCGACCGAAGACGATCAGATAATGGATCAACAAAGTAATAGACTTCTCATGACTGGAATTCTTCTGTGAGAATAAATAAAGAAAAATGAAAAAAAAAATGGTTAGAAATGTCCTTTTCAACTTAGTGTAATGTTTACCTAGCGAACCTTTAGCCATTTTAAGTTTCAGTGAAGGAGGATATTGTTAGATCTGAGAGACATACACACATGTAGGTCCAAATTAAGGGAGTTGGGCAGTGAAAGGGGGGAGTGGGTGGGGGTGGGGTGGAGTG